CCACTAAGCTTTAACAACCTAAAAAGTAATTTGGCTTAACTTTTCAGCAGGCAATAAAGTAGGATTAAGTTGGAATTGGAAGTATCCCTCGCTTGAAGAGACGTCTGGAAGGTTGTCGTAAATTGGCCTCTCATAAACCGAAGGAGGACTGTGGAAGTCACAGACAAGTTGCTGAAACGAAAGCCAAAATAACCAATCCAATTATTAGACGCCTAATTGAGTAGGCAGATTTAGGCTATTACAAATGGATACGATTACAGCCGACACCCTTTCTTATCCATTTTTCGTATATAAGCAGGGTTTCGAGACTACCAGTAAATAAGTTATATGGAATGTGTTCACCCTATTTCGCTTGAGGAGATGGACTGGTAGTAGAATTTTCCCACAATAATATGAGTAGAGCTGACGTTTCAGTAGAATTCCACATAGCCTTGCTTTCACAAAAGTTGTTCTCATCAACATATAAACTTTATTATCGTTGGGCTTGGCTGAGTTTCCAAAAGAATGGTTTAACGAATAGGATGGATTTTTAGCACAAATCAACGATCACAACTAAAAGGCAACCCGCATCTGCTCCTAGTGAGACAAATCTACGAATCTCTCCCATCAGTCTTTTCAAGTGAGCCCAGCGATAAAACAACATGCAGACGTACAATTGTCAAACCTGTTAAACATAGGGCATGTAGCGAGTAATCCAACTAGAGCTGCCTCAAGCCCAACACGTTTTTGGCATAAAAGGACTTCACGGCTAGAAATTGACACTACCATGGACGGAATGAGTGTGGAAGATAAGGTGGGAGATTTCTTTCTGGATTCTGATGAACCACTGGGCGGTGAGATGAGGCTTGATCAACCGGAAGTCTGGTTTCTGACTCCAGCATATCAAAACAACTTAGACGCAAACTGATACCGAAGCAGGCGTCGACATTGCAAGATCATGGTCAGTTAACTTTGGTACATTTGTCCAATTCACTCATCTGCAAGCATGGGAAGTTGGTTCTAAAGTGGCCTATCAAGTCATGAGAAGCTCCGTTAAAAGGGCAGGCTTAGGCATAAGAAGTAAGTTGGATTTCGGTCGACCACCCTGCCTACTTTAGCGCCATGTTGGGTTTTCGAATATAATGAAGTCAGGACAGACAACAGCTTAAAATCAAGCAAAATGGTGAATATGACCCTTTCGTACAACCAAACAGTCTACCCTCTACATTAATTTTATTTCACTTTCTATGATGCCAAGTTACGAATCCCTTTCAAGCGAAATGTCCTGAAATGTGATACCGAATTAGTAACCAGGACGTAGGTGGGATTGTGGCTGGCCACTTTCTTGTAGAGGGCCACAATGCCCTGGAATACGAAGCTTTGAAATACTCCAGGAATTGCTGAGAACCTTAAGTCACATTCACGGAGCTGGGCCTAATTCCGATCATTTGTCAGTTTTAACTGTGTGTATGGTTACAAAATGGAATCTCCCGCCCCTAGGTATATATGATATACTGGTAGCCTCGAAAACCTACTTAATCACGAAAAAGAAGTAATGTAGTAGATTGATATATAATATACAACTTTGCTTCATCGAAAAACCCACCGCAGAATATGGGAAAACGCCTTGAAATGAACAACTTCCCTGTGTCAAAGGGTTCTCGTGGCAATGTTGCGTAGTGGTCAACGTGTCAAGTTTATACATTTCACTACCACAACCTGAGTTCGAGTCTGGCTGGGGGTGCTGATGAGACCAGTTCAAGCCAGAATGGAGTTGCAATCCACTCCGATTTGGAAGAGAATACCTCTTGGTAGGCAAGGCTGTGTGAAATTTACTGGAAACGTCAGGTCTAGACATATGATTATAAGAAATATGATTAATATATCTCATAAATATGATAAAATGGTAGTTTTGACAACATAGTTATGAGCGGAAATTAAGTTTAATTTCACCACTTTCAAATCCGCTTTGGTCTCATCAGTTCGCCAAATGGAGTCGTGATTA